AGCAGCTCGGGAAGGGCTGCAGCCGTGGGAGGGAATCCAGTCGGAGAAAGTTAGTGACCCATGACGGAGCAGTGTGGGGAATGATGCGGCCCATGGGAGGAACTCATGACGGAGAAAGTTTGTGAAGGACTGTCTCCTGTGAGAGGGAGACCACGATGGAGCAGGAGGAACAAGTTCCGGACACTCCCCTCACCGAAGATGAAGGAACTGGCAGCGCTGACTGCACCCCCCATTCCCTGCCCCTGCGCCACTGGGGGAGGAGGTAGAGATATCGGGAGCAGAGCTGAGCCCGGGAAGAAGGGAGAGGTGGGGGGAAGGTGTTCTCAAGATGTGGCAATGCTTCTCACTGTCCTACTCTGTTATGTGTTGTTAATGTCTGTAATAAATGTATGTTCTTTTTTTCTTCCCCTAACGAGTCTGCCTTTTGCTCGTGATCATAAAGGGGAATTTTTCCCCATCCCAGTCCTATCTCGAACCCCAAGCCTGGCTCTCTGTCCCTTCTCATTGCCGGAGGGGAAGGGAAAGAGAGCTGCTGCGTTGTGGTTGGCTGCTAATGAGGCCTAAACCACGACATCAAGTAACTGAAACCTTGGCTGTCACCACAGGAGAATGACAATCAAATGATTTTTTAAACATAAACATCTACAAAGTTAGGAATGTATAGTAGGTTTCAGTTTTTGCATTACTATTTCCAAACAGAAGCAGAGCTGTTAAATTTCTTATTCTAAAATGCAATGAAATTTGACTTGTGTGTGTGTGTAGACATCGTGGCTGTTGGGGAAGGAAGGAGAGTGTTACTATCCTGTGCATTAGAATCTTTTTGATTATTTTTTTGTTTTCCTTCTTCCAACTCCATAGACAAAGCAACTAACAATTGGAGATACTCGCTGCATTGTTATTCCTGTATAACTGATATAGAGAAGTTCCATTCACTTTCAGAGGGAATAATAATCATTGCTACATGTACACACATTTTAGGGGCTGCCTTGTACCTTAGCTAGGTGTAGGGGCCATTATGGATTTGTGCTGTCAGGGGGACTAGAGAATCACCACCATCCTCCTCTCACTGCTATAGAAAGATTCTTGAGAAAATGTGAGGGGTAGCTTTGGAGGAGATTATTTCCCCTGCTTAAACTACACAGACTGTGAGTCTTTTCTCTTCTTCCCCTTCCCAAGCAAGAGCGATAATTTTCCTCCAATGCTTCTCACACTTTACCTTGCTTTTAACATTGTCCCAGTTTTTATGTGGGGGAGCCTCAGCTTAGCTATAATAAATGGGTGGCAGTTAGGAGAAGGCAGGAGAAATGCTGAATCTTAAAGCACTCCATTTATTCTGAGCATAGGCTACGATATTATAAAAATCTCAATGTTCTGGTCTTGCAGAGCTCCTGCCTATGAAGCAGCTTTGTAAATGCTCAGAAAACGTGAGGGGCTTTCCAGATCCAGGCATATCCTGCAGCCGTAGTTCTGGTGATGTCTTTCAAAATGTGCCTCGTTCTTCTTGTGGCAGCAGAGAGGGACAGAGTGCTGGCTGCAAAGCTCTGAGCGTGGCACTGCACAAGCCTTTCCGTTCACCTTTCTAGGTTATTCTTTGTGTTCCTAATTGCAGTGTAGTTTTCGGAGCCTTACTCAAGCCATTCTCTTGTGGTAACAAAACCTGTTCAGTGCAGGTTTCATACCACGTTTGTTCTGACAACAGAAATAAGCACAGCAATAGTGCATGATAGGTTAGCTTAAAATCACCACAATGGTTTGCAAAGGTAATAGAGCTGTTAGAGATTTGCAGAGAATTGCATCTGTTGCCACGGAGTTGAACTCTGAATAGTGACTGTCACTTGAGTTGGGTGTTTACCTTGCATGTTTCTAATGAGATGTCATTCTTCCATTGGTACTGTAAATGCAGTCATACCTTTTGTAATAGTGTGTAACGAGTTGTCCCCTACACGACGATGATGGAATATCACGGTGACTTATAACATTCTTAATATGCAAAACGTTGGCAAAGGGATTAGCCTTTTAGTGCCTACTGCTGCATCTAAGCAATGTACACCCACCGCAAAATGTCAACGCTCTTCCGATTGCAAATGATGAATGGCAGAATTGGAATGAGCTCTCTCATTTATTCTGGGCTTAGAAATGCAACATTGATAGCTTTTTTGGAAGGAGAGAAATAATAGGGGAGGCAGTGTTACGGAAAACATGATCCTAGCCAAAGTTGGAAAAAAAAAAAAAAAAAAAAAAAAAAGAGAAGAGTGGAGAGGGAATAGAAAGAAGATAATGCAGATAATGGGAAAGAAAAGCTAATGCAGCCTGACTTAAATCAAGTTTAAAACCAGATAGAATGAAGTTCTGATGCTGCAACTCTTAGTCTTGGAGAGATGCTACTGAAGTTGCAGTTCTTCTCTTTGGTGTGGTGGATCCATTTAGGTCTCATTGTACTTTGCATGTTACAAATCAGGTTTTGTGGTATTTGAGATTTCTTCTAGGCATTTTCCTCATTTGTTGTTGTCCTCTGACTGTGACAGATAGCCTTCTGCCCTTTTTGGGGCCTGATTCAGTTTGTTTTATAGTATTCTGGTCTTCTGTCCTTCTCCCCCCCCCTTGGCTGGGACTGGATCTTTTTCTGCATGCAGAGTGTTTGCTTGTGGATTTCACAGGAAATGTTGTAACTTGTCCAATTCACTGTGTTTAGATTTTTAATATTTCATATTATGTTGTTTTTTTTTTTTTTTTTTTTTTTTTTTTTTTTCCTATTATTAAAATAGCAGCCAGGGGCATCCCAGCTGAGGTCAAGACCTCACTGTACAAACCTGGGAGCAGGCTTGCCTCTTACTTAAGTGCTTGGAGTGTAACTGAGTGGTATTTGGATGCCTGCATAAATCGCAGGGTTAATAGCATCTTATTTCTACAGGTTTCAGGCTAAGATGCCAAAGCACTTTTCAAATACAAATAAATTTCACCTCCTTTCCTCTATGGAAGTCAGAGATTGGTTCTGTGGCAACACTTCCTCCCTCTCTAATTCCCACACATGTACTTGTTACTGACATATATATGACTGTGGTCAATATAGGTGCTTAACTTTTTAAAGAGCCTGTGTAAGTCACTAAGTGCATATTGATTTGAAGCAGATGTAAATTAGAATTAATTTTGACTTGCTAACGTAGTCAAATAAGGAACATTTATATTGATCTCTGTCCCAGAAGCCAATTATCTGGATTAAGTGTTTTTATTACATGAAATACAGCATACAGTATATATCATTCTGCATTGATCAGTGTGAAATTGCATATTTAAGACAAGGACTGTAAGTAAAAGTAGTTAACAAGAGATTTATTTTTAAAAAGTATATCTTGCTTTATTTACCCCCCGCTTTCCCCTGTTCAAAAGCTGTGCTTGTGGCTACGACTGAATAGGAGGCTGTTGACGCATGTGGATCAACAGGGATTCTTATTCATATAATTTCCATTTCGACTTCCTTCCCTTTCACTCTGCTCCATCTACGCCGTGTTCCCTCCCCCTTCTGCCTCCCCAGCCATTGTAAAGCTTATCTATATTTCCTACTCCTTAGCATTAAGCGGTTTTTGCCATACTGTGCTTTGCAGGAAAAAAATGTGTTCTGTATTAAATAAATACATTGCAGCCATCTCTCACGCCAGCAAGCAGTGCTAAGCAGCTGGAGAATCTAGTCGCGCAGGTAGAGGTGGCGGTTAGAAAAAGTGTGTTGAATTGGCAGGACGGTGCCGGTGTCGGGGCGGGGGCAGGGGTTCGCTCGGCCCTCGGGTTTGGGGAGACCGACCCCCGGGCTTGGGCAGACCCCCGGGTGGGTTTAGGCAGCCGGCGGCCTGTTCGTTCCCCCAGCGAGGCTCTGCGCTCCGGCGCTGCCCCCCCGGCAGCAGGAGGCGGCCACTGCGCCCCGGCACCGGGCTTGCGCTTGCCAGCCGGCGACCTCCAGGAATCGCTCTGCCTCCTGGCTTCCCCAGGCTGACATGATCTCTCTGGAGCGCCAGAGCGGTCCGCACCTCAGCCCCGCAGCAACTTAATAATCTCGGTAACATCCTGCTCTCAACTCATTTTCTTGGCAGTAGTTTTAATTACGTTTCGGGCTCCTGAATGAATTTGTTTTCTCGGGATCCTTGGCATATTGAGACGCTTGTCACGTTTGGGTGCCTGCAATCACTGATGCGTTTGTTTTAGGGGATGAATTAGTCTTCTGAGCCCGAGCATGTCCAATTTATGAATTAGATTTCATTGAAAGCTAGAACAAAACAAAACAAGAAACGGTTCTGCTGTACCGATTTTCTCTCCCACCCCCTCGTCCCCAGCGCGGGGGTAAAAATCTCCCACGTCCATTCGGCTCGCCAAACGCGGGTCCCGGCCCGGGCTCGGGCATGCGGAAGGAGAGAAGGGGCATCTCGGCGCCGTGACCCCGGCCCCCCCAAGTTGGGCGAGCGGCAGCGGGCGCAGCCCCGCACCCTTCCCTGCGGGGGCGTCCCGCCGCGCAGTGCCGCGCAGTGCCGCGCAGTGCCGCGCAGTGCCGCGCAGTGCCGCGCAGTGCCGCGCCCCGGGCCAGGCCGGGGCCGCGGGGAGCCGCGCTCCGCCGCGCACCCTCCGGGCAGGAGCTTCGCCCCGGGGCCGAGCCTGCGCCCGGCAGTCGAGGAGCTGCCGAGCCGCCTCGCCCCTTCCTCCGCTCCCTGCGCTCGGAGCATCGGTCCCCTGGGAGAGATACAGACGTTGTCTAGATATGGGGAGAGAGAGAGAGAAAATAATTAAAAAAAAAAAAAAAAAGGCAAGCAAGCCACACGTAATGCTGGGTATATATCTCAACACCTTCGACTGCAGCCGCTGCCCCCGGCCCTGCCCAGCCGCCGCGCTCCCCGGCGGAGCCCCCCGCTCCCCGCCGTGCCCCGGCGGCCCCGAGCGCCGCGGCTCCGCAGTCACGTGGCGCGGGGGGCGGGCGCGGCGGCGGGGGGGGCGCTCCGCAGTTCGCGCTCCGCCGGCGCCCCGGCACACACCGAGCGCTGGAGCCTCCGCCGCGCCGCCTGCCAACCCGGGATCTAACGCCGGCATTTTATTTTTTTTCGCCCCGGCTATTTCCCCCCCCTCCCCTTCCTTCTTTCTTTCTTTCTCTCTCCTCCCTCCCCATCGCCCGTTTTCCTCAGTCTTGGAAAATTCTTGGAGTGCTGCGGGAATTTGGAATTTTTTTCTAAGGGGGGGTGTCTGGGCATCTCCCCCCTCGCCCCCCTCCCCGCGCCCGCTGCCTTGCTCCACCTGCCCTTGCGCCTCTTTTTCTTCTTTTCCCCTGTCTGTCTCTCCACCAAACCCGGGCTGATGTGCTGTGCGAGAGGCTGGAAATGGAAGTGTTGATGCTCTGGCTTTTCCCCTGGATATTTCAGTGCGTTTCGGTTCGGGCGGACTCCATCATCCACATTGGTAAGAGAGGGAGCGGGGGGGGCGGTTGGAGGGGGACGCTGTAGGTAAATAAATAACTAAATGAAGGGAGCGTCTCGATTAACCGCGGTAATGTCACAGGCAGAGGTTGGACCCAACTCCGCGCAGAGACAGGAGGAGGGAAGGGAGAAAGGCGGCGGACCCCCCCCCCCCCGATTGTAAAGTTCGGGGCGAAATGCCAGCTGTGCGCCGGGCCGGGGCGGGGGAGCCGCCGGAGCCGCCGCTGCGGGTCTCCCATGTGGCTGGGGAGCCTGTGCTTGGACCTGTTTGCGTGGCAAAGCTTTCTTCCCCCCCCCCGCCCTCCCCCGCCTCCTCGCCACCGAAAACAAACAACCGCCCCCAACACCCGAGAGCAAGAGAGGCATAATCTGGACGTGCTCGTAGGGGAAAACTTTCGGGGAGATAATCCCCTGGTTTCCAGCCCCTGTTGTAGCAGGTGTCAGCCGAGCCGGAACGCGGGTGGGGGGACACGGCTTGGCTGGGGAAGGGTTAGAAAGGCGAGATTTGCAGCGGCTCTGTCTCTGCGCGCAACTGTAGAGGTTTGAATAAGATCTCAGTAAAACCCCTGGGCAGCAAGAAGGCTGGATCAGCAGTGGGAGGAAGAGAGGGATGAATAAGAGGCAAGGGAAAGGCTGATGTGAACTTTTATGGCTTCTGGGAGCAAGGCATGGTGATGTCCGCGGGAAGCCTGGCAAGCAGAAGCGAGGCTCTGCAGTCACCTTTTGGCTGGTGTTGAAAGGTACCAGCAGGAACGAAAATGAGGATGTTTAGGGGCGGAGAGGGGGGAGAGAATCACTTGTGGAGGATGATAGAGGAGGAGACGGGAGTACGGCCGGGAAATGAAAAGCCGTAATTCCCACCAGCCTTTAGGGGAGGATGGGAGATCAAAAAAAGGAGGGGGCCGGGGCGGGAGCAGGAACGATCCCGGCGAGGAGAGGCTCCACGGAGACGGGAGGAAAGTCCCGTGTCGACCCGGGGCGGGGAAGAGGAGAGGGGAACCGGCCCCCGTAACAAGTTTCCTGGCGGGGGGGGGGGGGGGGGGGGGGGGGCGCTCCGGTCGGCGCCGCTCGCCTCCGGAGCCCGGGGGCGCAGCCGAGGCAGACAGCATTGCGGAGTCATTAAGCAGCCCGGGTCAGCCCTGACCGCAGGGGGGGCCGCCGGCCCCGGGGCGCTCCCCGAGGCCGGGCAGAGCCGGCGGCACCGGGGCCGGCCCCGCGGGGAGGCAGCGGGCCGGTGGGGCTGCCCGGGCCGGGGCTGGTGGGGGGCCAAGCAACCCCCGCGGCTCTCCCTCTTGGCCCTGCTTCTCCTGCGGGTGGCCGGTGCCCCCTCGGCTTCCCCCTGCACGAACTTTAGCCCGAGTGGTGTCTGCGAGCTAACTCCTCGCAGGAGGAGCAGGAGGAGAGAGCCGCTCTGCGCCGAGCTGGGGTTTCGCCCGGGCAGCGCACGGAGGCTCCAGCCACGGGCACGCACAGTGTGAATCAGCAGGACTTTTCCAGGCAGGGGGATAACGGTTTGGGTTTTTTTTGGTTTTTTTTTTTTTTTGCTTGTTTTTTTTTTTTTTTTTTTTTTTTTTTTTTGCTTGTTTTGCTGCCAGCGCTAAGGATTTCCCACCGCTGCGCAGAGCAGGGCAGTAAGCCTGGCGTGGGCACACACACGCTCCGTGGAGAGGGGATCTTATGTAACGCACACCGCCAGATGTTTTCACGTTAACTGCATAAACGGGACAGTGAAATGAAAGCTTCCAGGTTATCGGACACAAATCCTGGCTTCGTGTTCGTGTGTGCGTGTGAGCCTCCGTAAAACCGCTGCCCCCCTTCCCCCCACCCGAAAGGCAGCGGCCTGGGGAGCGGCGGGGCAGGGAGCAAAAAGTTGGGCAAATTCCCGAGCCTGCTCGCTTTCCCGCCAGTGGCGAAGCAAGTCCCTCGCCCCGGCGTGGCTCCCCTCCAGGGCGCTTCCCCGTGCCGGCGGCCGCCCACGCGTGGGTCCCGCTGCCCCGCCTGCCACCGTGCGAGTCCGCTCGAGGTTTGCGCGGCCCGGGGCGGGGAGAGGGGGGGAAGCGGGGGTTGGGGCGGGCGGCCCGGGGCGGTGAGGAGCGGGGCCGAGCCCTCCTCACCCTCTGCCGCCTTCCTCCCCTCAGGTGCCATTTTTGAAGGCAATGCTGCCAAGGACGACGAGGTGTTCAAGCAGGCGGTGTCGGATCTGAACCTCAATGACGACATCCTCCAGAGTGAGAAAATCACTTACTCCATCAAGCTCATAGAGGCCAACAACCCCTTCCATGCGGTGCAGGAAGGTGAGCGCCCCGGGACGGCACCCACGGCGCGGGCGGGCTGGCCGCCGGGCCGGGGCGGAGTGAAGACCGTCCCCGGCCCGGCCCGTTGGCGGGGAGGAGGTTTCGGAGCCGGTGAGAGCCCGGTCTTGTCCTGGCGCTCGGCTGGAAACTTTTCTTCGGTCGGGGGTTGGCGCTGTCTTACAAGGAAAGGGGAGGGACGGCGCGGTGCGGCGGCTGCGGCGCCGGGCCCGGCCCAGCCCGGGCTGGGGGCGGCCGGGGCGGGGGGGGAGCTGCCGCCGCGCCCGGAGCTGCCAGCGCCGTCTCTCTCCGCCGCGGCGGAGAGCCCGCCGGGCCTCGCCGCCCTCCTGCCCTTCAGCAGGGCCCACGCGTGGACGCGGCGGGGCAGGGCAGACGAAGGGGGGGGGGAGGAGTCCCCCCCGAGAGGTGTGGGGGGTGTGTGCGGCGCCCAGGGCCGGGCGGGAGGGGTTGCCGCTTGCGGGAGGTGGCGGGGCACACGCCGGCCCCGCTCGCTGCCCGTCTGCCCCCACGGGGAGGCAGGGCTGGGGCGGCCGGCGGCGGCAGCCAGGCCCGCCGTGGGAGTGGGGCTCCCACCCGGGTGGCTGGGGAGAGGGCAAGGTAGCCGAGCCGCCGGCTGAAAACCTTCCCAGAGTTCACAAGATCTGACAAGCAGCTACGTAGGTAAATCATTTAAATTAGATTTTTGCAAAGGGAAATGTTTAAATTAATCAGCTTGCCTTTACAAATAAGACTTTATAAAGATATTATTTGTGATTTAATGAAGCCAAGGTTAATTATGGCCTAGGTTATTTCAGAAGCTGTTTTTTTCCAGTAGTAATTATTCTAGAAACAGAGAGAGCTATTTATATAGCCAGACTAGAATATTTAAAAAAAATGATTCATCACCAGCCTTACCCTTAGTTTTACAGAGCGAATCTTTCCCTGTATGAAAATTTGCATTAATCCATATGTATTTATGTCTAAGTTGTGTACATGCAAATTATGGCTACAAAATTACACCAAATGTTAATTTTCATGAACTCTGAACAATTTCTTCTGCTATCCTTTTTCCTCAGAGTAGGTGCTAGTTAATATCATGCACGTTCAGGAGAAACAGCAGTATGTACTTTTTCAAGGGCCCTATCCCATTAACAGTAGGATTCCTCCTGCTGCTCTGAAAGCTTAGCAAGCCAGTATGAAAAAAGTGTTTAGGGAAATGGGAGGAAGGGGACTTTAAAACAAAGCTCCACCCACATAGTCAGACACCAGAGGAAAATAAAAATCTCTAAATAATGGCGGGTTGATTTATTGGCAAAGATTAACTCTGAACAATCGGATCTTCTTAACATTTGCAAAAGCTCAGTGTCCTATATTGGAGCTTATTCGTATTCATGGAAGTGACAGTAGTTGGCTGGCTGAACAATTGCTTTCAACAATGTCTCTTCTCAGAAGTAAAACTTTATGAAACTATTCTGAATGCCCTGGGATCTGAGCTGACAGTCCCGTGGACAGAGTCTCTTTGCCCAGTTTTGTTGAAAGCACAAAAGCATGACCAGCTGGAAGATTCTTCTTGATCTATTAGGATTTGTTTGTTTGTTTTAATTGGTCCATCTGCTAACCTTGAAGATTAGTATTGCATTTATTAAGACTAGTGCAAAAATAAAATTCTCTGTTGGAAATCCATGCTGAAGCCACAGAAAAGACTTCGGTCAGATTTTTAATCTTTTTTGATACAGCATCTTTGTGCTACCCGAATCTATGTAAATAAAGATGTTTCCTCCTATCCCTTCCGAGACGCAGTTTCAGGGCTCACGTGCCCATTGTAATTAGAATTGCTCTTTGGTGAACTGATCCCACGCTGGAGAATTAAGGAAGTGGTTGATGAATGTTCACAATTCCAAAGAGAACGTGTTCTCTGTTGCTGCTTCATTTAGGCATATCAACACGTCTTCTTTTGGGAGGGCTACAAAGTGATCCTATCAGCGAGTAAAACTTTGCCACAGTGGGAGAGCTAAGAGAAGAGTATCAGACTTTGCTCAATTTCCTGACCGGCTTTGTTGGTTCAGGTCAGGTCTTTTTTTATTTAAGATTTAATTTCCTACTTTTGAAACTGTTATGCAACATGCTGACAGAATGATCCCCAGGATGTACAAGTTGCTGGGCTATTCTTACTGAGCAGTGTCTCTCTGCCCAGTGTTACTCGGTGTCATTCTGACTATTCAGAATCTCATTGTATCTTACTGTATGGGTGTCCTGCTCATTTTGGTAGAATATTGCATATAGTAGTCAAAATAACCTGGAGTAAATCCGCTGACTAGACTGCTCTCAGGATCTTGCTGCTGCTACATAAAATGCCCTGACATCCACATTATTCTTCTACAGTGTCTTTCTAAGCAGAGCCATGGAAATCAATGTTGCAAGCATTAGTTTCATAGCGATGGAACCTTTTATAGTAAAAACCAATATGGAGTAAAAATAGACCATTGTGATACTGCTGCCAGAATAGTTCATGCAATCAAACCAATCACAAATATTGTTTTTATTTGAAGCGTCTTTTGCACAGTCTTGTGAGATGACATCGTAAATTACTCCTTAACTCCTTTTAAAAGAAGAGTGCTGCAAGGAAGGACCTTCATTTCATTGATTCTGTGCTGGCCAGATTATGGAAAGTCATCCTTCCATGTGACAAGGCCTATTACACACTTAACAAGACTCTAATTACTGATGGAGATAGTTTTTAATGTATGTTTGACCTGGCTTTTATTGTGGAGTTGGAGAACTTCTGCATGGGTAGGAAGCACAGAAGAGTAGTAACTGTAGGCTTTTCTCAGTAGGAATGGTGCATTTGCAGAACTAAAGGCCATGCAAAAGATACCTCACCTTTCAGAAATAGAGTAGTTTTCAGTGCTGGAAGGTGCTGAGAAGTGTCGTAAGGTTTTGAAAAAAATCTTCAGCAGATCTTCAGTATTTGCTTTAGAAAGAGAAGAGCACTATTGTTATAGTTTCTGGTGACTGAAGTAGGCAAATAAAATTCAGAGATCCTGTTCAAGAACTTGGTGGACAGTTACATTAATGGTTGTGTCAGGTGCCAGAGAACAGTAATTAACAAAAAGTGTAATTTTTTTCCCATCTTTGCCTTTTGTTTTAGTATATATTGCAGAAACAAGATCCTGTTGTGCTAATAAGTAAAGAGTTTGTTTTGGCCTCGTCAAACTCCTATTCTATAACAAAGTGTGGCAAGTGGGTGGAAGGAACTCCAGTGGCAAGTGATGTAACAGTAAAGAATAAACAGACCCTGGTGTACACATAAAATAGGATTTTGCTGTCTGTTTGCAATTGCAAAGCAGTCATCACATTTTGTAGAATATTGCTTTTATGTATGTGGCAATTACTTGAGGGAAAAATTGTTTTTTTCACTGGCTGTCATGGGAGAAAATATACATGGGGAATCATTGTTCTTTTCATATGATTTTAAGGAAATGAGCTCAAATCACAAACATGATGTTAAATTATATCCTTGCCTCCGAAAGATCTATGTGCTCAGTTTCTGTTCAGTGATTGAGATGTGAGCTAGTAAGTGCTTGTTTCTATGCGGTGTGTATTTAAGCTAGTACTGTGGTAACCTTTTTGTGACTCAAGGATTTGAAGAAGCTCAAATGTATGAGAAACACTTTAAAGCTTTCAGTTCAGTTTGAGATTTTTGAGCCTGCCATTGGTGTTGAAAAGGGCTGGTGTGTATGATATATGGGTGGCAAACAAGTTTACAGCTGGGCTTGAAAATGTGATGACATGTTTAAACTGAAAACCGAACAAGACTCGTGTAAGTTTTCAAAACGCTGCCTTTGGAGGGGGAATAGTTAGCCTTAGGTCAAAACTCTGGGTCATAGGGAAGCTAGTACTTAGCTTTTGTAGTGGTCTTTGGAGAAGGGATCCAAAGGAGATGGTTACTCAGAAATTGTGAAACTTTAAAACCCAGTTTCTCTGTGGGTGATGCTTGCGCATCTATGGAGCTTTCCTGGAGCTGAAACTTGCTGTTCTCTCTGCATGGCAATTTCAAATGAATTGTTTCTAATTTGAGCAGCCTTCTATGTGTGCTTGTTGATGTTAAAATGCTGTCAGCTCTGGAAACCAGAACAAATTGGGAAAATCAGAATGTGATTTGAGAGCAAGAATGGTGTTCCATAAATGGGTTTGTTGTCAGTCCCATGTATGCTGCTGTGGTTTCAGAGCAACTCAGAGCTGATGATTTTTTGGATGTCTGTCTGTGTATACCATTGAGGGGAATCTGATCTCTTACTATAGTCTGTAGGACTGGGTAACGATACATGCTTGGCATAGAATAAAATAGACAGAATAGACAATTTTAGTTGGAAGGGACCTACAACGATCCCCTAGTCCAGCTGCCAACCAAAAGCTAAAGCGTGTTGTTAAGGGCATTGTCCAAATGCCTCTTAAACACTGACAGGCTTGGGGCATCGACCGCCTCTCTAGGAAGCCTGTTCCGGTGTTTGACCACTCTCTTGGCAAAGAAATGCTTCCGACTGTCCAGTCTAGACCTCCCCTGGCACAGCTTCAAACCATTCCCACGTGTCCTGTCACAGGGTCCCAGGCAGAAGAGGTCAGCACGTAGTTCTTGAACTATCTTGGCTCAGCACATATATTTCAAGTTACTACTACAGTTGCTTTCTAACGGTTTTATTTGTTGAGAAGGTATAAGCTGATCAGTGTGTAAATAACTAAGATGAAATACAGACCTGGAGAACAGGACTCAGCAGCTCCATTGCTATTCTTACATTTATTTATCTGGCTAAAATCCCAAGCAGAACCATGCTTGTCACATGTGCCTTGCCCAGCAGAAGGGAACTACAGAGGAGCAGAGAGACTGTACGCTTGTGTGTGTGTGTGTGTGTCTGGGATATTTGCACAGAGCTCTTTTTGCAAACCCGCGACTCTATTTCAAGGTTGTGCAAGTGTCCCTGACCAAAAACCCACATGTGGGCCAG